CTGAGGTTAGGGCCAAAGAATTCAAATGCAATTTAATCAACATCTAGGTGACTCTATATGCTAAAGTTTTAGAATCACTGTTCTAAATCAAAATAGAATGTACCCAGAGTGGGTTTATTTTTGTTTTAGAGCTTCAAGTAGATTATGCAGCAAAAACAATTTAAAAAATTGCTAGCTTGTTATTTATATGGATTGAAAAACTAGGGAATCTGAATTTTTGGTGTTAATATGTAATATTCATGCATTAAATCACTATAATCCTATGGGGGAAACCATAAAAATGTGAATTATTTTTTTTACTTACACAGTTGCAAACTGAAATAGGTACAAGTCTGAAGTGTATGTGTGTGTATGTTTGTGTGTATTTATTTGCTTTGTGGCATAGACCATACTCAGTGAAGACACTGAATTGATAATCCATGATGTCTGTTTGCTTCTCCAAGCCCCTGTCTCAGGTACTTTTACAGATGACAGTTATCAAAATTTAAAGGAATGGCCCATCTTATATGTGTTGCTTTAAAGACAAAAAAAACCCAACAAAAACTAAACCAATAATTTTATGGATCTGCTGTAGCTATGACTCAAAAACTGTGAAGAATAGTGCAAAAATGAAACAGTAAAGGTCATTTCCCTTATGAAATAGATGTAAAAATCTTAAAATATTAACCTAATCTTATTAAATCCTAAAAATATATTATGATTAAGCAATATTTATTCTTAGATAGCTTAATATCAGAAATTTATCAAATTGATGGACAAAGAAAAAGCATTGATCATCTAAACAGCTATAGAAAAATAATTTTATACAGCTTAATAAAATGACAAATTCAGATTGCAATGATTCACAATAGCATTCAAATCTGGCCTATTATCTATTTTTGTAAGTACACTTTGTTTAGATTACAACAATGTCCCTTTGTTTACATAAATATAAATAAACAAAAAGGAAAATCAAATGGGAAAATGAACAGACAGTAAATTCACACAATGGGAGGGCCCAAAGAATAAGAATAACAACTCTATAAGGAGGTGCTCCAATTATCTTAAAAATCAGAGAAACTTAATTTAAACTAATAATGAAATAGCACTGCCTAATAATCAGAATAGCTGAAACTGAAAACGTGAACAGAAGCAAGTTTTGGTGAGAACAAAGTGAGTATTTTTTCTTCCTTTTTTGAGACAAGGTCTCATTATGCAGTTCAGGCTGGCCTTGAACTCACTTTGTAGCCCAGGCTGGTCTTGAACTCATAATGATCCTTCTGCCTCAGCCTCCTGAGTGCTGGGATTACAGGCATGTGCCACCATGCCTAGCTTAATGTAGGACAAAGTGAGAGGAAGAATTGATTGTTGGGCTACAATTGGTACAGACATTCTGGACAAAAACCTGGTGTCATCTGGTAGATTAAAATACGTATATAGCCTACAATCTACTGATTCTTATCTACTCTTAAAGACTTCTCACAAAGGCGCATAAAGAAAGATGCGCGGGAGTGTTCATTAGATGCATTTGTAGCTCTGATGAGAAGCAAGTGATAACTTGGGTCCCTTGATAGGAGGACATATGAATCAAATGTAGGTGCATGCTTTGACACTCTGCAAAATTAAGATACAGCGTTTTGAGTAAGAAATGCTCGAAACAGAATAAAATCTATAGCATAATAAAATACATACATATAGAAAACAGTATTGAAATTTTATAAGAATAAATACATCTATAAAGGTAGATAAGACCCATTTGCTTAGAGATTCACAGGATGGAGAGAGGAAAAGAGAAGCATGAAACACAGGAGTGAGAGGGAATAAAAAACGTAATGGCAAACTTCGATCAAAATTTTAAAATAATGAGATTAGCCGAGTTTGTAAAATGCATACTTGTCAGTTTAAAGTTCATCAGTTTTACATAGATGTACTTACTGAACTTGTCTTCTTTCGTGGATATTTCCTAGCTCAGTCAGAAAGCTGTATTTATAGACATTTGGGAGAACTGGAGATTGAGAGGGTTTTGCCCCACAGTTGTTCAGAATGCAATACGACTAAGCTCTGGCGTGGCTATCAGCAACCGTTCTCCGGTAAGTCAGAATTCTATGGGATATGGATTAGCATTTAAATGTAGTCGAGTCATACTGAATACTGCTGTGCAGGACCTGCCAGAGCTATTTATTCCTACTATCCAGCTCGGGATGGTATCACATCAGCTCTTTATTTATTACTAATGGTTTTAACATAGTGCCAGGCACACATTAGATATTCTTAAAAGCTTTCTAGTGGAATGCATGAATAAAATAGAAAAAAATGATTAGTTTCAAAGTGATAAGTTTCCTTGCCCCAAATAAAATTTATAAATGAATAATGATTCCATAATAAAACATGCAATACTTTCAGACCTTGTAAAAGTTGGAAAGGATAATTAATAAAGTTCCCCCTTTTAGATAAAGAAAGCTCACTTTTAAAAGATGCAGATCCCTTTATGGAATCCAGCTGTTCCTTGTTTAGTTACTGATCATGCACCACATCATGATGGCTTACTTACTCTGCTTAGAGGCAGAGATTGAAATTGGACTGAATGAGAACTCTAAGCTCACCAAGGACAAAATGACTGGAGAACAGGTGAAGAGCAGCAAGCAAACAAGAGTAAGAAGAGTTCTCATAAAGACACCAGCAAGAGGAGATGCCACCCTTAGAGTTAGGAGACCTGGTGTGGGCAGCCTCAGCATAGGGGAAGGGAGCTCTCCTTTCCAATACAGAAGGTCAAATAGAACTCATACCAATGCAACTAGCGTTTTTGAGCAAATCTATGATGATTGCTTTTTAGATATTATCTTCCTTAATCCTTATAACCTTATGAGATCGCTGAGGCAGCAATACCTGTCTTTATTTCAAATAGGATAGTTTAAGGTTCAGAGATCTTGAGTGTCTTGCTAAGGTCAAGTCAATGATAGAAATGAAATACAAATCCACATTCTTTTACTACTGAGTGTTGGCTATTTCCATAATATCTGAGCCTCTTTTTTAGCTTAAACTGAGACTGAAGGCAGATGAAGGAGAAAATTTAAATTTATCATAGCTAGAAGGGAAGGGTATGAGTTCAAATGAGCTGGCCTTAGCTGTTGGGAGACAGAAAATATTCAGAAATGATGATGCCATAAAAACCCTTATTTCCAAAATTGTTCTTAGAGTGCCATTCTATCTATCCTATATACTTAGAGCTATATATTTTGGTGAATGAATTTTAGCATTTCCAAGTCATCAGAAACTTCATAGTACCTGTTGTGTATAAGGGTGGGATAGGAATGAACAATCTAAAGAAGCATTTTTCACTCTCAAGGAATTTGAAAAGTAACTGGAGACACAATATAGGTGAAAAGTGCACAGTGTGGGATATATGAGTCTAACACATAGGGTTATGGGATAACAGAAGCAAGGATAATTGTACCGTGGTAAGAAGAAATTCCAAGGAGATAATGAGATTTAAGAAAGGACACAAAGTATGCTTAGAATACTACTGAAGCAGGGTCTGGAGACCCTTTAAAGCTGGCTGGGAGATCAAAATTATTATTACAGTCATACAAGATTGCCCTTTTCACTATCATGACCTTTGTGTTAGTTGCACAAAACCAATAACTCATCTGAAAAATAATAACTTATTTGCTAAATACATACATATTTAAATGAAGTAGGATTCTCTTCACATAAGTGTCTTTAGTTGTGCTGTTGTAGCTGCCCTCACATCCTGGATTGATTCAAAATGTTTACCTTTCATGGTCATTTGGATTTGGGGAAGAGCAGGAAGTTGTATGACGCCAGATCCAGAGAATAAGGTGAAGGAAGACACACTGGAATGTTCAAACAAGCCCACCTTCTCATTCAGTGATCCCTGGGAGCAGCATTCACTGTATTTCTGCTCTCACCCTGTAAAGAAATAAAAGGACCTCCAGAACTGCTTTAGAAAGTGGCAAGAAAAATGGGATAAGTGTGTCTGGTGTGACCAAGAGTATTTTGGGTGGGATTAATGGCAATATGATTTTTACTGTACATTTTTAATTTTTTTTTCCTGCACTGTCAACTTAACTTTATTCATCAGACACTGGGTAGACCCCTCAGGGAGCTGCATACCCCTGGCCCTTCACTCCTTCTGCTTGGACCCTAGTGAAATATGCACAGTCCGCCCTCCTTGGTGCCAGGGAGAGACAAAGGAAAGGAATGCCACTGTCTTCATTTGATCTTAGCCAAAAGGCCGAGAAGTGATGCCACTGTCTTATATGTTTTAAAAAATTTAAACATTTATCATATATTTCAGTCACCCTTTGTATATTTGAACCAAATATACAGTACCAGAAACAAACATGAGAATCTTATTGTCTTTTAGTAACCCAGACATCAAAGATATTTGCAAAAACTGTAGAAATAATGTAATTTTTTCCCACTTTTTGTTTGGAAACATTGTTAATTTTTATAAAATTAAATATTTTAAAAAATTAAATATTTTAAAATAATTAAAATAATTTCATTACATGTTAACACATAATGAAATTATTTTAATTATTTTAATTTTTCACACTTTAGTTTCTAATACAAGTATTAGTAGATATAATCCACATAAGCGAACTCTTTGTGTTCCTCAGTATTTTTAAGAGTATAAGAGAATCCTGAAATCAAATACTTTCAGACCTACAGATTTGTGGGTATGTTTTATAGTTCTTTTAAAAAAATTAGGTTTAATGATGTGTAACTTACATATAGTAAAATGCACCCATTTTTGTGAGTCTGTTATGAGTCCTGACAAATGTATGCAATCATGTACCCATTACCATCTTCAAGTTATAGAACATTTTTCTCACCCCAGAATGTTCCCTCATGCACCTTTGCACTTTGTTCTTAATTTCGCTCCCCTGCCTCATCCCCCTAAAGTAGTAACCACCAAAATGTTTCCTGCTCTTATTGTCTTTTCCAGAATATCATGAGTAGAACACACATATAACCATCTCAGCTGTGTGTGGATTTCATGGGCTTTCCTCTTTATTATTGAGTCATTTTCATTGTACAGACATATACAATTCCTCTATCCATTCACAAGTGAAGAACTGGTTCTTTCCAGCATTGGGCAATTATTAGTAACCATTCTTATACAGGTTTTTGTGTGAACACCTTACAGGGTAGGGGTAAACATGTAGAAGTTTAACTACACGGTGGTTTAGATATTTGAAGAGGAAAAGGAGAACATTCTAGATAGAAGGACAATGTGGGCAACCTGCTCTGCTTTTTTTTGCCCTTTGTTCCCAGAGGTTTTGGGGCACAAGGCCATACAGGAATTATTGTATATGGGTAAGAAATCTGCTTAGAGAGGACATACAGGGCACATTTTGTCCCCCGTCTTCCGTTTCACTGACCCCGGGCCTCAGCATCTTGCTCCTCCGTGGCTCTTCGCTCCAGCCCCTGATAATGCTTGGATCTAAGTCAGTTGCTGCTTAAGGCTGAGCAGTCACTTGTCCTGGGATAAAGAAAAACAAGTGAATTTGGAAGAATTAAAACAAATTTTTAATAAAGTGAAATTATCTTTTTAAATAAAACTAATGCATGGTTATTCTAGAAGTTTTGAAAATTTAGTGTTAAACAGTCCTTTACCAAATAAAATAACTACCTATATTTTGATTACTTTCATCTGATCTTTTTCTATCCTTATTTTTATGTAATTATGATTATATCCTTAATATTATTCTGTATTTTTACTAATATTTGATCACAACCAATTTTTCTTTATGAAACCTTTCATAAAATCTATTTTAATAGCTACCTGATATTTCATCATATAACTCAAAAATAATTCTCTTTGTCATTTCTTGATTATTGAGAAATTGTTCTGTTTCTGTTTTATCACCAATGTAAGTAATGCTGTGGGCTAATACTTTTCTTCATAAAGAATTGTTTTTAAATTGAATTTTTCTTCCTTTATATTCCCAATAACAAAATCACATTTGAAGCTTCAAAAATTTTCAAAATTACAAAAAGTAACATCTTGAATGGCGTTAAGAAAAATTTATCTAATTTTCTTTCCTTTTCTCTCCAATCTATCAGCGTTGGATGCCTACCATCTGTTGATTTCTGTACCAGTCATAGAAAATAAGGGTTCAAAGGAGCTGTAGCTCAAGGTTTATATTCTTAATATCCACTCCAGTGAAGTCAAGATTGTACTGGATGTCTATTCCACCCTGTGTTGTGCCCGGCCTTGAGATTATGTCAAAATAGTAGCTGGTACCACATGTGCAGCACGTCCCCCCAGTGCTGTGTAGAGATGGTTTCATTTCATCCTCACACCAAGCTGTAATGCACATGACATTGTTAACCCCCCTTCATAGATAAGGAAGTAGAGGCACAGAGACAACTGATTTATCCAGGATCATAAGAGACAGAAGCAAGATTTGAATCCCATGTGCTTGCAGTACACTATTCTTCCCTGGGGGGAGTTCATGGTGAGGGGAAGAAAATGTTCAAAGCATCTGGTATTCCTGGGGATGACTACCCTACTGGTGCTTATGTTTTAAGAGCAGTCCTATGGGAAAATAAGAGGCAAATGATTCCTGAACTAAAGCTGCTGATGGTGGGGAGAGGTCAGTACTGGTTACACCATCAAGGCTCTATTGCCTGTCACTGAAAAGTTTTGCTGCTAATATTTATATGTATGCAGTGCTTTTTTTATGAGAACATATAAACATTTTTAAGCACACAAACTTTCTGTGTGTGTGTGTGTGTGTGTGTGTGTGAGAAAGAGAGGAAGAGAGAGAGAGAGAGAGAGAGAGAGAGAGAGAGAGAGAGAGAGAGAGAGAGAGAACAAAGTCTGAGGCACAGACAAGAAGGCAAAGGATGTTCATATTTCTAAGGAATGAGGCTGAGACTGGACATGATTTCCATTTTCCAAATGGTACACTGGGTAAAACAGTTTCAAAGATTGGCCAAGTTTAAGACAGTCCACCTTTCTAAATCTTCCTTTCAGGGATTTAGTAAGCAAATTAAGTAATTAAAAGCTCTGAGAAGTCTTGCAGTGAAACAACCGGTCAAAATTAGTTTGATCCAGAATTTTCAAACTTATTTATATGCAGAGAATTTTTCTTAGGTAAGCCCTATCTGCATCCCACACACTTGGGGGAATGTTGGACTCGCTTTATGCTAATTTGGAAGGTAATTCTCCTCAGGTGCTTTCTGAGCGTAGGAGCCAAGCTGCATGAGTCCATGGCTCCCATGAGTGGCTGAGGAGGCCGCCGGGCTCTGGTGGCTCTGTTTTTCCTCCATCATCATGTCTCATCAGTGGGGTAAAACAGAGCAGTGAAACATGACTATTCCCACTGAACAGGCTAATTCACACCTTCTGACTCACTTCCCTTATGCGTTGGAAACCTCTGGAGGCCAAAGGGAACTGTGCGTACAAAGTGGAGGAAGGCTCCTTCTCCACATCTTGTGTGGTGCCTGGTTCAAGCGTGTCGTGTTATGCAGGACACCTGCTGCCCATTTGGCAGCCCAGGCCCCACAGCCAACCAGCCCAGCTGGTCCTCGCTTTCAGCACATGAGCCATTTCAGGGTGGTGTGATGATGACTTTGATTCTGCCCCAAAACTGTATTCTCTTCTACCCGCAACCCTCTTTGGCTATCATTTGGATGAAGGTGGTGACTGAATTAACAAAGCTGCTGAAAGCAGAAATGGAACACATAGAAAAGGGCCTCGGATCCTCCAACAGCAGCTTGGTTTGCTCTCCTCTCTGGAGCAAAAGTGTGAGCCACACTTCAGTGGCACCTGGTGATTATGGTATTAGCAGGGCACAGCTCTCCACTACCTGTCACTCACTGTCACTGAATAAATGTCTGAACCGGGGAGTTTCGAGAGGTTGGGACAATTCACAGCCCTGTAATTATGAGACTAATTCCAAAAAGGTCACAACTGCTTAATCAAATGTTAATCAAAGCATTTTGTAGATGATGTTGATTCTATCCAGAGTAGGAGACAGCAGTCAGAGACCAAGGACAGTAGCCCTGCATCCTCTTGAACCAGAGTAGGTTTTGAAAATAAGTGTTGGTAAAGCAAATAGCTTTACTCAAGAAAACTCATAAGTAGAAGATTTTATTTTTTATAAGTACAAAATGGTATCATTTTCTCTGTCTTTTTACATTGAATAACCATGTTAGAGGATCAGTTGGAGGATGACAGTCCAAATAAGCAGATATTTCTCCCCTCTTACCCTTCCTAAAAGCTTACCTTTGTAACGATACTTAAATTTAGAGATCCTTCTTCAGTTGATGAAGCAGTGTTTGTGTACTCCATGCCTCAACTTCACAAAACATGTTTTGTGAAGGTGGTTTTGAGACTACAGATTCAGTTACTTTCCTTTGTCTGGTCCATAGCAGAGGAAGGACTCAAACTGAAGTCCATTGGTCCAAAATGTGGTGTTCTTTGCACATGCAACAGCTCTTATTACAGTAGGTGTGGGCTTCTGAGTCACCTAGACCTATTTGTCAGTAATCGGGTATTTCTCTTCTGCTTCTCCTAACCCATCCCTAATTTCTAATCTATTCTTCCTCATTGTAAACCTTCCTGTTACAAATAAATAAATGAAACAAACATAAGACACAGTGCCCTATCAAATTTCAGTGACTTTAGAGATACATTTAAGAAACCCCATCATGGTTCCTTTCGTGCTGAAAACTATGCATAGATGAAGACTGGTCCCTATAAATAAGCATAATCTTATTCACTATATCACTTAAGTCCCATTACACTTTTTAAATGGCTTTGGACCATCTTTAGTGTCTCTAATTTTTTTTAAAGCTGTGCTGATCAGCTGAAATCAAGTGGATGGCAAATTTCTAGAAGCTTTCATTATGCAGCTGGTCTTGGTCATCCTTCTGGGCAGAGGGGATTTCTTTGCAGACTTGCATTTTGTGTACCAGTCTGCAAACTCCAGGCAGAACATGTTGGCAGCAGCCTTCTCTTCCAAACCTCATTTTCTCTCCTTCCCAGGGTGTGAGCTCCCCAAAGTGTGATTAATCCATCTATTGATCACCTCCTGCCATAGCAAGGGTGAGATATGGCTAGCAATTGGTGCCAGGCTGCCTATGTGACCAGACTGCTAACCTGAGGTGAGAACAGACAAGTGCTAGCCTGTGCTTTCCAACCCTGCACACAGAGAAGGGGCACAATAGCTGCGCTTCCCAATCGCCTTGCAAAATGATCCCTCTCATCAAAATGCAGCTGATTCTTTTTCAAATGAATTATAATGTATACTCCCTGCTATCTCAGTTGGCTTCACAAAGGTCTAATAAAAGTTTATGGGTAAAGGGAATGAAGAAGATGGAAAAAAAAAAAGCAACAAGACAGAAATCCTGGAAATGGAGCCAAACAAGAATGTGCTGCTTTGATTAAAGCAATCCAGGCAGCTATAATGGATGGCCAGAAGCTTGCCAGCAAAGGGATTAGAAAAACCAGGAGGCATTTACCTAATATTCAGAGGCACAGTTGGGAGGAAAGATAGGGTGAAGATAAACTAAGAGGATAGGCAAAGACGCCGGAGACACACACTTCTACCTGCAAGCAAACAGGGTAAAATGAGAAATGTGGCATTCAACTCATTCCCCAGGCCAGTGTTGACCAGTTAACTGAGCAAAGAAAATGTGGCCAGCCAAGACATGGTAAAGCGTTCTTTTCTCTCTGCTTTCCTGCCCAGGAGAAAGTCAAGCATGTTTGTGCTCAGTGGCACAGGCCATGTTTTCTTTCATTCTGCCCCATGTGTTTAGAAGGACCTTTCTCATCCACACAGTCACAGCACACTCTTCATTTCAGGAGCCCCTGGTGTGGAAGAAGTCACTTCAGATTGTGCGGCTGGCCTTTTCCGGTGGAATTGATTTTCAGTGCACCCAGCCAGAAAGCAAACATGCTGAAAAGTTGCCATGGTTTAAACCCAGGAAGGGTGGCAGTGTCAGTTTTAACCCACTGAACCCTCCATAGAGTAGTTCATGTCTCTGATTCATGCTGATTTTCTGGCTTGTCTGTTCCAAATATGCACAAAGCTCCAGGCACAGGGACGGACATCTGGAAGAGACAGACAGAATTTTTAGCTTACGAGGAAATAGACAATTAGAATTCAGGGCCAACACTGTAAGCTTTTTCACTTGGGATGAAGCTGGTGCCAAATTCATGTACTGAGTCCAGTCTTGATTTTTTCTCAGGTTTCTAGTGATTCTTTCAGGACCAATTCTTTCAGGAATTACTGAGGACTAAAACCTGCCTATATTTGCCTTTTTTACAAAAACCACAGAGAGGTAAGAGATTGGGTGTAATTATTCCAGAATGAATGACCACCATCACATAGGCCTGGAGGTGTGAGAGAACAGGTCATATTCAGGTAACTGCAGACTATCAAACGTGGTTCGAGCTTCGTGCATGTTTGAGACAGTCGCAAGCTGTGAGGCTGGAGAGTCAAATCAGGGACATCCAGGAAGTATTAAAATATTGGTGCTTAACTCAGAGGGCAATCTTGGTGCCATAGCAGAATTGAACTAGTGTAGTGATGGGACTAGTGGTAAGGATGTAGAGAATGGATCATAAAAAGGGGCAGCAGGAAAGCAGGAAGGCCAGTTAGGAGAGGGTTTCTCAAAGCAGATGGTCTGATCTCAGGTGGTGGCAACAAGGATGGAGTGAAAACAAGGGGGAAACAAAGGGGACTCCCAGGGAGAAACCACACCCACTGAGAATTTATCTACAGAATATATATCTTACTATAAATAGGTTTGAGGCAGAGGCGAACACTTCATAGATGCCTAATAATAACAAATGTTGAGTTAGCACTTGATCTTTCCTGCAGGGTTGTAAGAGTTCAGCAACTTTGGGAGACAAGATAACAACAGATAAGCTAGATTCATCTTCTGCTGGGAGAATAATCCCAGAGTACAGGAAGAAAAGCTCTGGAAAAACCACGAGGAAAATGGAGCTATGAACCACAAGCAAAGAACTGGTTATGCCTGACTAGCTCAAATAAAACAACTTCCGTGTTGAACCACCAGCTGATGAAGGCAAAGTTGCATGTGCTTGGTGATGAACAAACCATTTTCCACAAAGCCAATGTTTCAATATTTTGCTTGGCATCAAAATCAAGTTGGACTGGAGAAGAATGTGGTTTGGAAATAGGCTGAGTATTAATAAATGAAATGGTCCATGAGAAATGCCAGTGTTTCCAGATATGGAGTGTAGTCTCTGATAGAAATATTATTTCTTAGTGTCTTTATTAATAAATTGAGAAGAAGGATTTGCTTAATGATGCAAATTACAGATGCTCCTAAATAAAGCAACATTGTCAACACCCGGCCGATCACAATGTCCCCAAAGAGGTTAGAAACGTGGGGCAGAAAATGATAAAACAAGGTTAAATTTGGCTAGATGGAAACTACATCTGGGGAAAAATAATTCAAAAAGCAGATATTCACTGGACCAAGGAAATCTGGGCCACACTGGTGCCAAAGGAGACCCAGGTGCAGTACCGGATGGCAAATTAGGTAGGAGTTTGAAATATACTGGGGCAGCCCAAAGCCCATTCAGTCCTGGCCTGCCTCCTCTGAGAAAGAAATCTCACCTATCAAAGGAAAAGATAGGGTCTGCCTCAGCTTTCCCTGAGTGCAGACCACTCACAAGAGAAATTCAAGCTCTTTATAGCTTTGGGTCCAGTTATTGGGAATAAAACAAAAATCACCTACCACAGTTATAAGGCCTGTACTATTATTCCATGTCCATGGCCAATGCTTTTGGAAAGAAATATAGCCACAGTAATTTGCATATGGAAGCTTCATTCATTGTGACTTAGGATGTGTCATTACTACTCTTTCATTATTCTCTCATTATTGTCTCATTATAACGGTCTTCCAGGTAAGTGGCTAGTTGGTCATATGGGCTCTCTGTTTTACATATTAAGCAGCTGGGACATGGTTGCCAAGGACATTCACGAATGCTAGTCATTGGCTTCTCTGTCTGGCCCTTTGTTCTTTATAAGGACATCCTCCTCCTAAATGAGTTAAGCTTTTCAGAAGCTTTAAAGGGAATTGAACAATTGTTCATCAGTGGCATCACAGGTCTAAAAGGCATTATTGCATGACTCAGTAGGCAAGTGAGAGTGATTTAAGGCCCCAATATTTAAAAATTGATGCATAAATATCATCATATAATCTTCATGGTAAAACCATAACTTTGCCGATCACTCCCTTAGTTTACATTTCATTATTAAGAATAGTTTGAATTATAAAAGGAAATATGAGTGGGGAATGCTAATAATTTCACTGCTAAAGATTTCTTAAGATCCATATTCACTCTACTTAGAATGCTTGACAAAAAAAAGAAGGCAGGAAGTGGAAGTAAACACTGTTATTGCAAAGAAAATTATTTCATTAGTTCTTCAATTTGCTTTCATGATTTATTAATCACACTCAGAGTATGTAAATACCTCTAGAAAAAAAATTGCATGATTTTATCCAACTGTAATGAGTCAGTTTTAAACCACCCACAGGCCTGGGCAGAGCCCAGGGCCATTACCTCTGTGCATGCTCAGAAGCTCTCCCCAGAACTATGACTGTATTTTCACCTTGCCTAGGCCTGAACACTTTGGTTCAGTGGGGCTTTGTTTGCAAGCAGATTCCTTTCAGTCATATTGTCTGAGTGACAACTCATTATTGTAATTCAAGTAAGGGATAGTTTGTGGTTTGGGTTTTAGTGAGGGATAGTAAATTTTATAGTGTATATAATTTGGAACATGTCTGTGTTTCAGCCCATATGTGGAAATCTGCCCGGGTGCTTATTATTATGCTTATCTGCAAATGACCAGATGGCCTTCCCCAAATGTAGAGAACCATTTAGTGTCATTTTAAACCATTAAAGCTATTAACTCTGACTTGAGATAATCCTGTGCCCAAAGGGAACTAGTTTTGCTGTCCCTCAAAGTCATCAAATGTAATTAAATGCCATATTGAGGAGTAGGCACTAATGGATTAAGGAGACAGGGCTGTCAACCAGTTATGGGTCAACTAAGCAAAGGGACACAGCTTGAATGAAAAAGATGTATTGGATGAAGTACTGGCTAAGCTGCTGTAACAAAAAATACCAAAAATATGACTCAAACAAAAGAGATAGTTCATGTCCCTTTCAGACAAAAAATCTGAACCAAAACAAACCAAAAAAAGTTGTTAGGAGGCCCAGTATAGGCTGCTCTGATACTTCAGACCCACTGGAGACCATATTCCATCCATCTTGTTGCTCAGACATTCATCATGGTGCTCTCTTCATTTACATGGTTGAATGAACATCTATGTTCTGGATAGCTAGAAAGAAGGTGCCAAAAGAGAAAGAAGAGAAATAAATATAAAGAAATTACTAGGGGAAAAAAATCTTTGAGAGACAATAAGAGGGGATAGGGGGCTGTTGGGAGAGCAGATCTGACACTGTGCCAAGAAGGAAAGGAAGGAAGGGTTGGATCTAAGCAGTTTAGATTGCAGAGAAGCTCAAAGGAAGGTTTGGAAAGAATATCAGGAGTTTCCATGCCAAGCTCGCCAATCAAATGAGACCCACATTTTGTGTGTCTTACACTAGATCTTAATCACCCATGTCTTGCAAATCCCAATCTTTGGTTAAGAGGAATCCATCAGAGCGCAGCAGCTGGGGCCGGTCCTCCTTGCCTTCCTTTCTTCCTTCCTTTCTTCCTTCCTTCCTTCATCTTCCAAAACAAAAGATTAAGACATATGTCCAAATTTAAAAGCTGGTAAATGGCAGAAATAAAATTGAACACAGAGCTTGTGTTAAATAAATATATATCCTACCTGCTAAGCTTGCTGAAGCCATCCAACATATATTTTCCAAAGGTGCAGATAAAAATGGCCAGATGACCTCAAGCATATGTGATGTTGCCAAATTAAGAGCTTGAAAGCGAGAAAACACCTCACTCTGGCCCTACGGGAGAACCAGTGCCGGGGACTTGGGTGAGGGTGGTAAGTTTTCAGAGGCTCTGTTCTATATAAGATCCTTATAGCTCCTGCCTGAAGCCATTTTGAGAGTCAAAACCAGAGTCATAAGGCCAAACCCATGTCTTGGATCAACCTCTCCCCTTTCTAGGCTTCTTTTGCATCCTGAGCCTCTTTGAAAATTCTGGGTTCTCATGCTCAAATGAGGCAGGTTGGGCAAAACCTGCTTCTGCCTCTGTGTGAACAGGGTAAAGGTGTCCCTTACAGGCAGATACAGAAGCTCAAGGGAAAATGGTTTGGCAAGCAAAGTGCAGGAGAGATTAAGCCTCCACTCATCCTAATTATGCAGAGCACAACCACACATGGCCGCCCTACTTCAGTCTTTCTCATCCATCGGGCTTAGAAGTCTATTGGAACTCTTCGACTCTTAAAATGAAAATTTAAAAAGTGCCATTTCCTAGAAACTTTCAGGGCCAGAGTGTTAATGTTGTCCCAAGTACCCAAGCTACAAGTCTTTTTTTCCCTCCCATTCTACACTCTATTTGATATTTTCCTTCCTGCTTTGTAACCCTCTGAGCTTCCCCAGACTTGCTACCCGAGCTTTGCAATCCTGACTGAATGTTCACTTCCTGGGTGGCTAATGACTACACCTCATGTTATTCCATGAGCATGTTTTGCATATCTTTACTTAAAGATTTTTAATTGGACAAAAACTAAGTGTTAGGAGTAGAAAGATCAACATAATTTGGGCCCTGTTCTCAAGAGTTCAGTCTTGTGAGAGATCTTTTAGAGCACCAGTTTGCTTAACACAGGAAGTATAGAGAAGGGAGATGTTATTACACCTGCACAGTGATGGGATGTTCAATGAAGCATGCATATAAGTCAACTAGGCCAGTGAGTAAGGAGAAAGGTCACTCTTGGGAGAGGGGACTATCGTATGCAAAGGCCCAGAGGGACACAAAACTGTGCACTCAGAAATCTGAGAGACTAAAGCTCAGTGTATCAGGCAAAATGGGTGATATGGCTGGAGAAGTAGAGAGGGAGAAGATCCTATGGAGATCTGATAAGGAATTTGGGCCCTGTTCTAGAAGATGTTTGACAGCCAGGGAAGGGCTTATCAGATGGTTTCAGCTTCTAAATTTTGGGGTTGACTCCTTTGTTACTTGGGCCTCCTGGTCCTACTTACCCTATTTACAGAGGTGATAAAAGTAGTGTGCTGAAATAAGTACTAGGGAGCTCAGACATAGGAGCCAATTTCATCCTGAAGGAAGATTGCCTGTCCTGAAATATCTCCATTTCTTACTGATTTTCTACATTATTTAGCCAAAGCCCAGATAACACTGGATCTATTGTTAAAAGGTATCTTCTACTTTCTTTGGTTTTGTTAGTTAACATCTCTTAATTTCAAGAGCCTTGCTCAGTGGTATATATTAGACCAAGAACATTTTAATTTGCAAGGTCTACTATTGTTCCAAAGCAACTAACAAATGTTAGCTCATATAACCCTTAAAGAAATATTGTTGAAGTCAATAGTAGTTAATACTATCCACTTCTACTTGTCAGGGAAATATGGGTTAAGTGACATGTTGAAGGTCACAAACCTATAATAGTACAAGCAGAATTTGAACACAGTCTTTTGGCTCCAAATAGGGCTTTTTTGTCCACTACAGAACACTGTCTGTAAGAGTATTTGTTTATATTCTACTTTGCTCCACTCTGGGCTTGAGGTTGTCTTTAAAAATACTTCCAAAAAGACAAAGAAAAAAAAAATGCAGACAGGAGAAAATATAGACAAACTGGGAAAACAAGGCAGAAAGAAAAGTTAAAGTACCAAATGGCCACAGAGACCCATGTAGTAATTAAAATTAGTCTGCACATTGAATTATAAGTTTTCAAGAAGCTAACACAAAAGAGGAAAATAGGTTTCATATTTTCCAAAGAAAAGACGTGCTCTCTGTCAAGAGAACAAATCTTTCTTGACACTCAGATTGTGAAGGAATTTTCTCTTTGCAGGTCTTTTACTCTGAGGATTATTGACATGGTTTATTAATTCTGCAGCAGGATTCCTGCCAACCGGACACAAGTTGGGGTGAAGGCCTAGTTCTCGTGGAGTGGTGGGGGAGAACTGATAGCACGAGAGCACTCTCTGTGGGCACACAAGCCAAGTCGCCCCAGCAGCTGGGCATTGGGTACCTGTTGTTTTTTTCTAAACTAAAACTCAGTATTCAGTTTTATCTGTAGTGTAGGCACTTTATGATTAGTAAGTGGGTTTTGGGTTGCAGTTTGGGCACTTGGTCTCTTTAAAAGTTTCATCATCATAGTTATAGATGCTCCCACTAGGTATGAGATCTAAATTTGACCCTGTTTGTAATGTTCTTGTTCACTGGTGCCATTTTTCAGCAACAGGTATGTTGATATTTGATGAAGGTGAATCTCTTAAGAAACTGGGGGAAAAGAGAAGCTCCTGCCCACAGTAGCCACTGAGGTTTCTGCCTTTGGGAAATGTAGGGCTAGTTCCCCCAAATTTTTCAAGCTGGGCTTGACTGACTCCCTCCTGTGGTGTGTCTAGGCAAAATTCATCCCAAAGCAATTGATGGTCTTCCATTAACCACTTTACTAACCTGAGGATAAGGATAATACATTTTTAAAATTAAGTTTATTGGTACAATTTAGTTATACATAATGATCATATTCATCATAGGGAATTTGCACCTGTATATGATATATCTTGATTCCTCTTTTTTCCCAGTCTCCTCCTATTGGGTTAATAATATCCCTTAGTTATAGCAGACTGATTAGGTCCAAAATCTCCCAAACGAGTGTACGGTGA